AGCCCTTATCTAGCAGCCACGGATTTGCCAGCCCTCGCCCCGCTTCCGGCGGGTATCCCCCGAGCTCGGAGGCCCCTCGGACCAGGCGCCCCATGGCGCTTTCCATGCCCCGCCCCTGAGGGCGCCCCATCGCCGCCGCCGCAGCGCGGGCGGTCCTTCTCCTCCTCCTCCTCCTCCTCCTCCTCCTCCTCCTCCTCTCCTCCTCTCCATTTTCATCCTTCTCTTCCTCTCCTCCTCCTCCTCCTCCTCCTCCTCCGCCTCCTCCTCATCCTCCTCCTCCTCCCCTCCTGCCCCTCCTCCTCTCCTCCTCCTCCTCCTCTGTTCCTCCTCCTCCTCCTCCCCCTTCTCCTCCTCCTCCCCTCTCCTCCTCTCCTCCTCCTCCTCCCCCTCCTCCTCCTCCTCCTCCTCCTCCTCCTCCTCCTCCTCTTCTCTTCCTCCTCCTCCTCCTCCTCGTCTTCCTCCTCCTCCTCCTCCTCCTTCTCCCAGCGAGTGGTTTTCCACCCTTTGAAACTGACCCCTGGTCATCCGAGCGCTCCTCCTCCTCCTCCTCCTCCTCCTCCTGTCGGCGACCTTAGGCGTCGCGCTGGCGCTGCGCGACCTAGACTTTGACCCGCGATGTCCAAGTGCCGCAGCAGCCACACTGTGGGCACCCCCATATGGGGCGTCTTGACGCCTGGGAGGACGTCGAGCGGTGGCCCCGTGCCCCGTACTCCGAGTTTGTTAATATGCGTCGGAAGGGCGTCACCCCCGCCGACAGCCCCACATCGACCCCCGTCGCGGGCAGCCATCGCGCGCCGAAGTCGCTCCGACCCCCGTCGCGGCGCGACGACGAGGCGAGGTTTACCCCCATCGGGGGGTGCCTCCCCAAACTTATTAAGAAACCCAGAGTAGGCTTCTGCGGGTGGGGCGAACGTGAAAGACGCCACAGGGTTTCAAGCTCGAGCCGCCGTGTAGTACGTGCTCGCAAGCTCAGCGCCACAAAGGCCCGGGCCAGAACGGGTAGGAGGAGGAGGAGGCGGAGGAGGAGGAGGAGGAGGAGGAGGAGGAGGAGGAGGAGGAGGAGGAGGAGGAGGAGGAGGAGGAGGAGGAGGAGAGAGAGGAGGGGAATGAGGGGGAGGAGGAGGGGGAGAAGGAACAAGAGGAGGAGGAGGAGGAGGAGGAGGAGGCGGAGACGGAGGCGGAGGCGGAGGCAGAGGAGGAGGAGGAGGAGGAGGAGGAGGAGGAGGAGGAGGAGGAGGAGGAGGAGGAGGAGGATGAGGATGAGGAGGACCAGTGTAAACCCAGGACTCATCAGCGCTGCCGGAAAAAAACCCTCCCTCCAAGCTCCCCTTTCATAGGCCCCCTACAGGGGTTCACTTCCACTGAGAGAACTGCCCTGTTGGGAGACAACCGTTTGACGACCCTAGCGCGTGCCAGCGCAGCAGTCTCGGGACCCCAACGCAGCGAATGAACTTGACTGCTGCGTCTTGAGGAACCAGAATGGCGCCGGAACAATAGTCTTGGGACTTCAGCACCGCGAATCAACGTAACCGACGCGCCCTGGCAATCTAGATTCGTCTCAAAACGAGTTTTGTTAGGTTAACCATGGGAGCCTGGGAAGCTCCTGTAAATGTTTAAGACGAAGCGAGCGGCGCTAAAGGCGATAATCACATTTTGAGAAGGAACCGCCTTCAATCCGTGAAACAAACTCTTGCAACCTCTTATGACGAGTGTGCGCGGCGCTGAGGCGAGAGCCACATTTTGAGAAGGAGCTGCTTTGAATCTTTGAAGCACTTGCACATCTTCGAGACGAGTGTGCGCGACGTTAAGGCGAGAGACACATTTCGAAAATGATCTGCCCTCAATCCGTGAAGCTCTTGCATTTTGAACGGCGAATGTGCGCGGCGCTATCGCGAGAGCAATACTTTTGAAGCGGCCCGCCCTCCATCTGTGAAGCTGTTGCCAAGTTTTGCCAACCATCCTGTGTTGAATTGGGTCCTTGTTTGGAAGAGACAGCGCCCCACGTCCCTCCCCTCTCCTCTCCTCTCCTCTCCTCTGCTCTCCTCTCCTCTCCTCCTCCCCCTCCTTCCTCCCACCCTTGCCTCTGCCCCCCGTATGATGTCCTCATTACAATCATCATTGTTATCATCGTCATTATCTTCATCGTCATCACCATCACCATCATCATCACTATCACCATCACCATCATCATCATCATCATCATCATCATCATCATCATCATCATCACCATTATCATCATCACCATCACCATCATCAGCATCACCATCATCATCATCATCCTCATCATCATTATCATCATCATCACCATCTTCATCTTCATCTTCATCTTCATATTCATCTTCTTCTTTATCATCATCATCATCATCATCATCATCATCATCGCTGACATCATCATCGTCGTCATCGCCATAAGCATCATCATCACCAGCATGCTCACCAGGCTCAGCATCTTTATATCATCAGCAGCATCAACACCATCATGCTCTTCATCATCTCCATCATCACCATGACCATCATCATCATCATCATCCTCATCCTCATCCTCCTTCTCATCCTCATCATCATCCTCGTCCTCGTCCTCATCCTCATTCTGATCCTGATCCTCATCCCCATTCTCATCCTCACCATCATCATCATCAGCATCATCATTATCAGCATCAGCATCAGCAGCAGCAGCATCATCATCCCATCTCACCTCATATCATCATCATCATCATCATCATCACCACCATGATCATCATCACCGTCATCGGCATCATCACCATCATCAGCATCATCATCACCATCATCATTATCATCAGCATCACATCGTCATCACCATCATCGTCATCATCAACAATATCCTCATCCTCATCCTCATCCTCATCCTCAACCTCATCCTCATCCTCATTCTCATCATTCTCATCATCACCATCATCATCATCATCATTGTCATCATCATCATCGTCACCAACATCATCAACATCATCAATATCATCATCACCACCACCACCATCATCATCATCAACATTATCTTCATGATCATCATTATCATCATTATCATCATTATCGTCATTATCATCATTATCAGCATCGTCATCACCACCACCATGATGATGATGATGATGATGATGATGATCATCATCATCATCATCATCATCACCATCCATTCATCATCATCATCATCATCATCATCATCATTGCTGTCATATCCGCTCCTTTTTCACGTGTCTGCTTCGGCGCACCCATCTTGGCCCCATAGGGAGCTCCACCTAAGGCCCCAGTGCCATGGTTCGCATGCCGCCCCCTTCCACTTTGGCACACCTCTCACACGTTTTGTGGCCCCATGAGGAGCTCCACCGAGGGGCCCAGTGGCATGGTTCGCATGTCGCCCCCCTCCACTTTGGCACACAGCTCGAAAGTTCCGTGGCCCCATAGAGAGCTCCACTTTCGAACACCCCTCACACGTTTTTGTGACCCCATAGGGAGCTCCACCGAAGGCCCCAGTGGCACTGTTTGCATGCCGCCCCCCCCCCCCTCCACTTTTGCATACTTCTTACACGTTTTGTGGCCCTTGTAGGGAGCTCCACCGAAGGCCACAGTGGTTCGCATGCACCCCGCTGTCCAATTTGGCACCACTCGCGCGTTTCGTGGCCCCATAGGGAGCTCCACCGAAGGCCCCAGTGGCATGGTTCGCATGCCGCCCCCCCCCTCACTTTGGCGCACCCCGCATGCGTTCCGTGGCCCCACAGGGAGCTCCCCTCAAGGCCCCAATGGCACGATTCGCATGCCGCTCCCCCTCCATTTTGGCAAACCCCTCATACGTTTCGTGGCCCCATAGGGAGCTCCACCGAAGGCGCCAGTGACATGGTTCGCATGCCGCCCACCCCACTTTGGTACATCCCTAGCACGTTTCGTGGCAACACAGGGAGCTCCACCGAAGGCCCCAGTGGCATGAATTGCATGCCGCCTCCCTCCACTTTGGCACACCCCGCATGCGTTTCGTGGCCCTGTAGGGAGCTTCTCCGAATGCCCCAGCGGCAGCGCCCGCATGGCGGCGCCTGCCCATTGCGGCGCACCCTTCGCGCGCCTCGTGCCCACAGGGAGTTCCACCGAATGCAGTTCTCACAACGGCGGTATTCACAACTGCATATGGTTGGGTCCTTCGCCAGGATACTTCCCAGAAAGGTCTCCCGCCCAGGGTTCTCTTATAGTTTGCGGTCCAAAGAACATCCGCCAGAAGGGCGTCGAGCAGCGGCGCCGGAATTGGACGTGTAAAACTACGTGTGCGGAGGGAGGGGGGTCTGCAACATGAGTGTCGGCACGCGTGCGTTCGGTACGTGTTCGCACGTGTTTCGGTCCACGACGGGGCCGTGAGCGAGGGGCCTAACTTGCAGGTGGTGGATTCTTTGCATGTAAAAATGCGTGCGCGGAGAGCGGGGGCACAACATGCCCCTGGCGCGTGCGCGCAGGGCATACATGTTCTTGAAACGCACTTTTGCACTGCTCGGTCCCCCTTGTTGTACTGTCTCTCTCTCTGTCTCTCTCTCTCTCTCTATCACCCTCATTCTATATGGTCGGCCCTTGCGCCGCTCAAGTTTCGTCGCGAGAGTTTAGCCAGAGAAGGCTTACGAGCCTCACTTCTTGTATCGCACCGTGCGGGTGATATCTCACCAAGCCCCCAGCCTCGTCGAGACGAAACTGTGGTGGTGCGCTGTGGCTGTGGTTCTTGGGCGGCACGCGGGGGACACCGCAAACGAGGGCCGCCCGTTTGGGGTGGCGCAGGCGGAGGAGTTCGACTACTTCGAGGAGGGTCCCGAGGACGTCGTGGTCGTCGTCGCCGCCGCCGTCGTCTTCGTCGTCTTCGCCGCCGCCGCCGCCTCCGTCGTCGTCGTTGTCGTCGTCGTCGTCGTCGTCGTCATCGTCGTCGTCGTCCTCGTCGTCGTCGTCGGCCTCGTCGTCGGCCTCGTCGTCGTCGTCGTCGTCGTCGTCGTCGTCGTGCCTGGCGCCGGCGCCTGCAGGCCGGAGAGCGGGGCGCCATGTCCCTCGGTGCCGGCGTCCGGGCCTCCGTGCGCCCGTGGAAGGCGCGCCCGCCCCCCGACGACGCCGGCGGCGGCGGCGCCGCCGGCGCCGACGACGACGACGACGTCGACGACGACGACGACGGCGACGACGGCGGCGACGAGGACGACGACGGCGGTGGCGGCGACGACGACGAGGATGGCGACGACGACGACGGCAAAGGACCCGAGGGCACGCCCAGTCCGCGCACGGAGGCACGGTGGCGGATGGATGCGTCGGTTAGCGTCGATTAGCGTCTGGGAGTCGATGAGATAGCGCCGATTCAGTGCCTATCAGCGTCGATGGGCGTCGATTTAGCGTCGATTATCGGGGGTGGACAGACCTCCTACCCTGGTACGTCGATTAGCGAATTGGCCGTTTTCGGTTCGCGAGAGGGCGTCGCGGCCGTCATTTTTGCGGATCCAGGTCCGTCGGTTTCGGTTCCAGGCCGTTTTCACTAAAGGGAGGTTTATTAAAGGGAGGTTTGTCCACCGCCGAGATTAGCGTCGACAGACGTCGATTCGCAAAAGCCGACAAGATGGCATGGGAGGCTCCCACGAGCTGCCACCGAGTCCGTGCCCAGAGGCACGGTGGCGGATGGGGTTTCCCACCACCTTTGGAGGTCAGGGGAGGTTTTTGGGACGGGTGGCGGGGCAGTCTGTGTGACGACGGGTGGCAAAGCAGGGTCAAGTGGCGCAAGTCGGTGCAGAGCAACGCCAAGCGGTGAAAGCAATGCGGAGCTCTGCGCAGAGCAGCGCAGGGCTTTGCCGCCCGAGGGCACGGTGGCGGATTGGAGTTTCCCACCGCCCTCGGAGGTCCGGGGAGGTCTCGGGGGGGGGGCCGCGAGCCTCCCGGGAGCAGGCCCCCGCCGAGGCCAGCGGCGCAGGGGCCCGCCGAGGCCAGCGGCGCAGGGGTCCCTCGACAGGCGGCATGGTCAAATATAGTCAAACCGTCACACTGGCGACGTACCCAACCCCTGCGCAAAGCGGAGCATGATCAGCTTGGGAGACGTTCTACGGAGGTGATGCCGCGACATGGGCGCATATGCTTCTGCGAGCGGCTTTCGTGAGGCTCGCAGCCCCCGAGGACTGCGGGGTCCCGCTCAGATCTGCGTGGCAGCCTCACTCCGCTGGACCCACCAGCAGCCTTCACAAGTGGCGACGGTTTCGCAGATCGCAGCCCCCCAGGGACGGCGAGGTCTCGCTCAGATCTGCGCGGTGCCTCACTCCGCGGGAAACACCTGCAGCCCTCGAAAGTGGCGGCAGTTTCGCAGATCGCAGCCCCCCAGGGACGGCGAGGTCCCGCTCGGATCTGCGCGGTGCCTCACTCCGCTGGACTCACCAGCCCTCGGAAGTGGCGACAGTTTCGCAGATCGCAGTCCCCCAGAGACGGCGAGGTCCCGCTCGGATCTGCGCGGTGCCTCATTCCGGTGGGCCCACCAGGAGCCCTCGAAAGTGGCGGCGGTTTCGCAGATCGCAGCCCCCCAGGGACGGCGAGGTCCCGCTCAGATCTGCGCGGTGCCTCACTCCGCTGGACCCACCAGCAGCCCTCGAAAGTGGCGACAGTGTCGCAGATCGATATGCTGGCCCCCCAGTCAGCCCTTGAAAGTGGCGACAGTTTCGCAGATCGCAGCCCTCCAAGGACGGCAGGTCTCGCTCAGATCTGCGCGGTGCCTGACTCCGCGGGACTCACCAGCAGCCCTCGAAAGTGGCGACGGTTTCGCAGATCGCAGCCCCCCAGGGACGGCGAGGTCCCGCTCGGATCTGCGCGGTGCCTCACTCCGCTGGACTCACCAGCCCTCGGAAGTGGCGACAGTTTCGCAGATCGCAGCCCCCCAGGGACGGCGACGTCCCGCTCAGATCTGCGCGGTGCCCCGCTCCGCTGGACCCACCAGCAGCCCTCGAAAGTGGCGGCGGTTTCGCAGATCGCAGCCCCCCAGGGACGGCGAGGTCCCGCTCGGATCTGCGCGGTGCCTCACTCCGCTGGGCCCACCAGCAGCCCCCGAAAGTGGCGACGGTTTCGCAGATCGCAGCCCCCCAGGGACGGCGAGGTCCCGCTCGGATCTGCGCGGTGCCTCACTCCGCTGTGCCCACCAGCAGCCCTCGAAAGTGACGACAATTTCGCAGATCGCTATGCTGGCTCCTCCCAGTCAGCCCTTGAAAGTGGCGACAGTTTCGCAGATCGCAGCCCCCCAAAGACGGCAGGTCTCGCTCAGACCTGCGCGGTGCCTGACTCCGCGGGACTCACCAGCAGCCCTCGAAAGTGGCGACGGTTTCGCAGATCGCAGCCCCCCAGGGACGGCGAGGTCCCGCTCGGATCTGCGCGGTGCCTCACTCCGCTGGACCCACCAGCCCTCGAAAGTGGCGACAGTTTCGCAGATCGCAGCCCCCCAGGGACGGCGACGTCCCGCTCAGATTTGCGCGGTGCCTTACTCTGCTGGACCCACCTGCAGCCCTCGAAAGTGGCGACAGTTTCGCAGATCGCAGCCCCCCAGGGACGGCGAGGTCCCGCTCAGATCTGCGCGGTGCCTCATTGCGCTGAGCCCACCAGCAGCCCCCGAAAGTGGCGACGGTTTCGCAGATCGAAGCCCGCCAGGGACGGCGAGGTCCCGCTCGGATCTGCGCGGTGCCTCACTCCGCTGGACCCACCTGCAGCCCTCGAAAGTGGCGGCAGTTTCGCAGATCGCAGCCCCCCAGGGACGGCGAGGTCCCGCTCAGATCTGCGCGGTGCCTCACTCCGCTGGCAGTTTCGCAGATCGCAGCCCCCATCGACGGCGAAGAGAGGTCAGGAGGAGGCGGGAGGCTGGGGGAAGGAAGGAAGGACGCGCGAGCAGTGCTCCATTCAAAACGAATACCCAACCAAGGAGGGTTGAGAAACATAGTTTTGGGACGATTCTTGGAATCTGTCTGGGCATTTTTTGTCATTGTTTTGTAACATCTGGGAATCCTTGGAGTATTGTTTACTATTCTGAGTGGGTGTAGCTAGCTTCGAATTATTTGGAACATTTTTGAGGACGTGCCCGACCCAACCCGAGGGGGCTCGGCCCCCGGCGGCGGCGGCCCCTCTCCGCCGGCGCAGGCCGCGGTGAAGCCCAGCAAGTTCGTCGCGGAGGCCCAGCCCGCGCGCGACGGGGGCGCGGCGTCGGGCGTGGCGTGGCGCAGCTTCGCGGGCGAGGAGCAGCACGGTCGGCCCTGACTGGTAGGTCGACCCTGGCAGATCCACGGCGCCCCTGCGCCCCGCGTCTCGCGGCCCTTGCCTCCGACCTCCGCGTGGCAGTGCGGCCCTCGAAGAGGGGAACGAAAAGGGACATCAGCATAAGAACTCGGAGGTCCGCGCGGATTTCTCGGATCGACCCCCCTCCCTGGCGCGCGGAGCGCGCCAGGGGCGGCGCCAGAGGCGCCGCGGGGGGGCCCCCAGCGCCGATCCGTGAAATCCGCGCGGACCTCCGAGTTTTTATGTTTATGCCACTTTTTGTTCCCCTATCGAGAGGGCCTCGGGCCCTCGAGGGGGCCCGGCCCGGGCCGCCAGAGGTGGCGCGCCTCCCCTGCCCCCTCCTCCCTCCCTCCCTCCCTCAGCCGCGGGGCGCCCTTCTGCACGAGCGAAATGGGTACGGAAAGAATGGGTACGATGCCCAACAGCAGTTCCTGTTCATTTCGAACAGGACTCGCTGTCCGCGCCGCCGCGGCCTGTGTCCATTTGAGACAGAAGGCCGCCTGCCCAACAGCGGCCGCTGTTGGTTTGGGACAACATTTGTTGTTGGGCATTGTGCCCATTTGTTCCGTACCCATTTCGGGCGTCCAAACAATTGGTGGCGCGCCTCCCCTCCCCCCTCCTCCTCCCTCACTCCTCAGCCGCGGGGCGCCCTGGTCGCATGGTAAAAAGTGTCCTCTCGCCTGTCCGATCAGGGCGGACGGTGCGCCCTGAGCCTTCCCGCCGTCGGGGCCGCCCGGCCCAGTGCGGCCGGCAAGCTCACGCCCCCACCTGCAAGTCGTGGGGGGGGGGGCGATCCAGGGGGCGGGGAGGGAAGGTGCACCCCTCGTGCCCCACATGGGCTCTGAAGAGGGGGGCCCCCGAACCTGCAAGTCGGGGGGGGGGGGGCGATCCAGGGGGGGGGGAGGGAAGGTGCACCCCTCGTGCCCCACAGGGGCTCTGAAGAGGTTCTGACCCCCGAGGCCCACATGGGGGCACCGGGGTGCAGCAGCGACGCCCGACTCCGATGAGCCGGGGGCGTCCGTCGGGGGGCGGCCGGGAGAGGCGTGGTGACCCGGGGGCAGTGGACATCAGGGTCTACAGGAGGAACATTCAGAACTAGCAGAAAAATAATATGGGGACGATTTTTCGACTATTTTGGAGCATGTTTGAGCATTTTTTTTGGCTACTGTTCATTATTCCGCCAAAATCCGCCTGTAGGGGACACGCCCGACACAAGGCTGGGGCCTCAAGATCTCCCCAGATTCCAGGGTTTGCTTTGCGACTTTCTGTGTCGCATTGCGGTCGTGCATAGCCGACGCGTGGTGCGAGCGTGTTGTTGGCGGCACCCGGGCTTTGCGCTGGGAAATGTCGTCTCTTCATATTTCAGTACGTCCCCTGCCCCTCCCTCCCGGCCGCGCACATGCCTCGGACCATGACTTGCGACCCCCCCCTTCTGGACGCCCCCCTCTTGGACGCCCCGAGTCCAGAACGGGGGCCAGGACTAGAGGGACACGTTCATGTTCGAGGTTCGAGGTTTTCGGATATTTTAGGCCGGTGTCGGGTTTTATCAGCCCTGGGGTGCCTTCCAACGGCTACGCCTCGCCGAGAGCGTTCTGGGGATTCCCAGATCGCCCCAAGCGGCCGTCAGAGAGCCGAGTGATAGGGGGGGAGCACTATGAGGGGCGACGGGCTGGGAAGGAAGCCGACATTTCTGTCTTATTGAAACATGCAAGACGGAGATTTTTCGGGGGGCCCTCGCCAGGCCCCAGGACCGCAACAAAAACGACTCGGGATGCACAGCTGGCCCTGGGGAGGGGGTCAAGACTTCTGGGGACCCCGTATTGAAAAATCAGCGCATCGAGTCTTCGGGGATGCGTAGAATCGGACGGGTGGTGAAGGGGGGGGGAGAGGCTCAGAGGGGGATGCATCGATCCCCAATCGCCCGTTCATCCCCGATAGGGCCCGATAGCCCTTCCCGCCCAAGAACGTGTGGCTTCGCTGTTGAGGGCGTATTGCCGATCTTTCGGCGATGTATCGCCGATTTCAGCTCGAGCTTTTCCCCCTGAGCTGGCCCCCCCGAATGTTCCCCTTCAGGAGGATGGGAGACCAAACTCAGCATCGGCGCTGGTATATTCGTGGTCGGAGACTGGCCTGATCCAGAACAGCCCCGCCTGACTCCGCCTGGTTCCGCCCAGTGCCGCTTAATCCGGCTCGATCGGCTTCATCCTGCGCCCAATCCGGTCCAATTTGGCTCAGCTGCCCCTTACATTGGTTTAGCAGTCTTTTATCGTTCCCACGAAGACCTTCCAAAAGTTGCCTCACTAGAGGTGGGTGGGTATCATGACCTGGGCCATGACATCTCCCAGATTTCATGGCGCCCTCCTCTTCATCCAACGCGTTCCCTGGCCCCCCATCGTCCGCGCACGAGGCCATGCTGCGCTCGCCCTCCTCTTCTTGGCTCCCTTCTTCGACGCACCCGCATATGTCGACAGCATACATCGACGAACAGCGAATGGCATAATCGCAAACTTTCGGATGTCTGAAAGGGTTTCTTGGATCGGCGCTGGACCCCCCTGCCTAGCGCGCGGAGGGCGTCAGGGGCGGCGCCGGAGGCGCCGCCAGAGGGTCCCATCGCCAAGGAATCCGCGAGGACCGTCGAAAAGTTGTGGACAGTTTACAGTGGAGGCCAGTCCACAAGAAACCTTCCACAAGAGAAATCCAGCCCCGAGACCTCAGGACGTCCATTGCTTTTTGGTGTGGGAACGTCGCTCGCTTCCATAGCAAAATCATCGAAACCCAAGAAACCCAGGCCACCCTGGAGGCAAGCAGGGTGTTTCTTGGCATGGGTCTCCACAGGAGGAGGAGGAGGAGGAGGAGGAGGAGGAGGAGGAGGAGGAGGAGGAGGAGGAGGAGGAGGAGGAGGAGGAGGAGAAGAGGAGGAGGAGGAGGAGGAAACCATTTGGCCTCTTGCGGGCCAGCCGATCCCGATCGATCCATCGGGGTCGGTCGGCGCCTGCCGCCCGATCGATCGCGGTGGCAGGGCGCATCGCGCATCGGCCAGCCCCCGAGGCCGGGCTCACGCGCGCCGCGCGCCATCTTCTGCGGCAGGGGTCCCCTGCCGCAGGCCGCGGCGCTCGCGGCCGCGCTGCGGCCCAGCGGCGGGACGCCGCGACATCGCCGAGGAGGAGGTCCAGGGGGCGCTGCCCACCGCCGTGAGCGGCAGCAGAGAGCCCAGGACAGGCTCCTGCTCCGTCTGCGGGCAGCGGCCGAGCGCCTGGCCGCCCACCACTCTGCCCAGCCAGCGATGGCCCGAGACGGGAGGGGCAGAGGCAGTGGTGGCCGAGGCGGCAAGGGCCAGGCCCAGGAGGAAGCAGCACCGCCAGCAGCGCCCCCATGGCGCCAGGAGAGGTTGCATGGTGCTGGCTGGCAAGAGCAGCATTGGCATGCGGAGCCAGCAGGCGAGAACCCGCCCTGGCGCAGGGCGCCATCGCGGCCACGGCGCTCTGGCCAGGCCAGCCCTCGCCAATGGCAGCCGCAGCAGCAGCAGCAGCAGCAGCAGCAGCAGCAGCAGCAGCAGCAGCCCAGCCAGCCCCCCTGGCATCAGCAGCAGCAGCAGCAGCCCAGGGCGGGCAAGGGTGGCCAGGCCAGCTCCAGCAAAGCGGACCAGCGGGCCCAAAAAGTCATCGACTCTGTGGCGGCCTGCACGCTGGATGAGGCCACCTCCCACCCAAAGTGGCAGGCGCCCCCGGCCGACCGCGCATGTATCCAGAAGTTTCTGAGCAGCGCTGACCAGAGGCTGAGGAAGCTCGGCGACCTGGTCATTGCCAAGCAGGCCGCGGGCGACAGCACGAAGGAGCAGTTGATGGAAATCGCGGTCATCAAATATCAGAAGCTGGTCACGAGGAGGCCGAATGACCAGCTACAGGTGCTCAGCAAAAGGCGCAAGGCCCTCAAACTCGAAGTCATCGCCCTCGAGGCCAAGATGAACGAGCTGCGGGGCGACCTCAAGGCCAAGCAGCAGGAGTTGAGGCGGGTCGAGTCCAACATCGCCGACGTGCGGGCCGTGCTCGCCGACGGCGGCGCGGCGGACGACGCGGGCGACTGGGACACGGGCGGTTTTGGATTGGCGCCGAGCTGGGATACCTTCCACAAGGCCGTGATCGATAGGCGCCTGAACAGCGAGGCACCTGGGGGCGGACCTCCAGCTTGGCCAGCGGGAGTGGTGGGGCGCTCGCCACGCTCAAGAGCCAGCTCGGCAGGCAGGGCCAGGTGGCTAAGGCGAACGCGGAGCGAGCCCATCAACAGCAGCGCCATGCCGAAGCCGAGCAGGAGTTTGCTGCCGAGCTGGCGGAAGTCAGGGGGGTCGCCCGCGAGCAGGCACTCCGCCACAACGCCGAGCAGGCGAAGCTCAGGCTGGCCCTGAAGGAGGAGTCAGAGCAGCTGCAGCGCACCACCGTAGCGGGGAGCGCAGCCCAGCAGCAGCAGCAGCAGCAACACAAGGCTCTCCGCCACGAGATCAAGAAGCAACAAGCCGAGCAGCTCGAGTTCGCGACGCAGATGGATGCCAGGTTAATCAGCCATGACGCAGCGTTCAGTCAAGTCAAGGCTGAGGCCGAGGCGGCGACCCAACGTGCAAACCACCTGCGAGAGCAGCTTGAGTGCGCCCGCGCGGAGCACAGAGCGCAGCCGCAGCCCCAGGACAGGGTCTACCAAGACCTACTGCGGGCACGCGCCGAGGCGCAGGAGGCATTGCGACAGGCCCAGCACGAGAGCGCCCAAGCGACAGCTGCAGCTGGCACTCTCAAGCAACAGCTCATCAGGCAGGAGGTGGTCATGGAAGAGAAGCTACAGGAGGCCAAGACGGACCACGCCCTTGAGCTCGAAGCTGCCGCTGAATCAGCCAGGGTCCAGGCAACTGC